GAAGTTCCTTGAGAGTTGTATAAGGAAGCGAAATGGGCCTTTCCGGCATAGTCAGAGTTCTTAATAAGCTGTATGCCTCTTTTCCGATCAATGTGAGGAAGTGTGCTACAATATTAACATCCTCAGCATCTTCCTTGGTCATAGCCCAGATTTCGAACCTTTCAGAGTAATCCTCAAAAGCATCAAGATGTGAATGTACATCCAACAATCCCATCACTGGCTCCATCGCGACGTCAATGTGATAATTAAAAGTATTTGAATTATGGTACGAACTAGGAATCCCAGAAACAACGTAATCGGATCAAGAAGTACTAGATAACCGCAAACGAATGTACTGTATTTCGAATTCGAAATCAAGCATTCAACAAGTACAAAGGAATCATCAGTTCATACAAACACCATAGTATTCCAATTGAGGGAAAACCATTCACTTAATAACTCACATATGACGGTTTGGTCATTATACGTCACTTCATCGAGCAGTAAGAAGTGAATTTTGTGATCTTTCTTACGCGTTTTGATAGAATACGACACAAGGCTTGGGCTTTAGATGCAGCAGTGAGTGCAGTACGTTCATTTGCCTGTTAATGCTTGTTGTGTCGAGCTTGTACTCCGTCAAGTACATAGTATATCTGGTGCAGTGCACTGAAGTCTTTTGATATTTAGTGCGTCCTTATCTCTTCTCACAGCTTAGACCTATTCTTTTGGTTTATATAGGGGGTAGTTGTTCTAGAAGGTATAGTAGTTTCTAGTGCAGATTTAGTGGTGGTATTGAATATTTCTAATGTTTCTAAGATGTTATCACCGGCAAAGAAACTGCTTCAGACAGAGTGCTTTATTAGAAATCGAAAGTTTTCCCAGTTAGCGTTTGCATAGTCCCTATATTAGAAACGCGTAGTTAATGTTTTTAATTTGTTGCACATGTCAAGAATCGGAAGGGTACAGAGGACTATTTTATGATCGCTGTTGTGAAACTTTTCTTCAACCACCATTTATGTTGGTGTAACATTATGACAGAATTCCATGCCAAGAATGTTGCGATTTCGTGTAGGCAGATGTACATGTTGTTGCCAGCAGAGTATGTCTAAGGACTCAAGTATGTTTTCAAAGCACAACGGGCCAGAATGTGTCATTGAGTTAATGGTGGGAAGGCTGAAATCACCACATAAAATTTTGTGAAATCTGTGGAGATATGACTGACAAGCTTATTTTGTAAATAGTTTTTAACATTATTCGTATTTATTTTGTCAATCTTTAACTGTATGTATATTTATCATTAAATGACTGTACCTGTTGTTTTGGTGAGTGACCTTGAACACACCTTCCGTTGTGTTACGAACATAACGTGACATACTGTTCCTTGCTCACAAATACATTGCTATACACACATAGCTTGTTCTACTTTCGCTTGTGATTGAGCTAACTAGATTCTAAATCAAACATTGTCTGCATTTATAGACTGAGTCGGAATATATCATACCTAACATTGGTTTACATTACTGGAGAGTCCAACAACCTGAGCGAAATTACCGAACATTTATAATTGTGGATTTTCAGTACCAGACCCAATTTGAACACGAAGCAACTTGGTAAAATCCTAAAACTTCTTATGTATTTGTAACTTTTAACATTATTATTTACTCTTTATAACTTGGTTAATATTTTCTCACGTTCATATTTGTCTGGTCCACCACAAATCAAGCGAGGCAGCCTGAGCAAATGGCTCACTTGTAATAGTGTCAGTTGAACTAGGAGTGTTAAGAGCTCGATATATGCATCCGATTAGTATTTTACATTCATGGGTGTGCACAGTAAATCACATCGAACCAGGAAGTCTTCTGAAGACGTAGTCACTATAGATTTCCACTCTCAAATTTTTTCGACATATAAACAAGACAGCCACCACTCTTCCTTGTGACTCGATCACAGCGGAAGTGCTCATAGGGGTCCAATTTGAGGTATGAGTCTGTGGTATCTGAGGTCAGCCAACTTTCCGTTACCACAAGTGAGGGGTTGTTTGAAATCAATTGGGTGCGTAGATGAGTCATCTCACTCTGTGCAGATCGAGCGTTGATTAACATAAGTGTCAGGTACAGTGAGTGTTTGTCCAGTAGAATGGTATGATGTAAACCCAGTGGATTGTCTGTTTTGCCATGAGAAGTGGGTGTTGACTCCATATTGATGAGCGTTTAGTTTATTACAAATAGGATCAATGCGAGAAAAGTAGTAGGTTATTTCGGTGAAAGTTTGTTTAACAGTGAAAGGTAAAGTTGGATGGTTAGGTAGTGTATTCGGGGAGTGATCAGGTCCAGTCAAGGGGCTCTTAAGACTAGATATATTTATCGACGTTGAGAAAAATGTCACTCCCTATTAGAGATGTAGCGAACTAGAACTCAGATGGGGAAGTCCAATTGATTGTTTAGTGCACGATAACAAGATGGCTAATTCAAATATGTAAGTCATGCATACATCTTCCTTTAATTGTCTGTTACAAGCTTCATCATTCCTTCATTCCTGTTGTTATTTCGGTTGCTTTCACTTTCCTTCTCCCTTCTTTTCATTTTAATATTCTGAACCTGCTCGCAGATATTCCACTTCCGACTGGTGTTACATGCTACTTATATCCAAATATAAGTAGCACACACCGCAACAATACCGCTTAAGTATGTCATCTAAGCAAAAAAGCGTTCCTGAAAACCATTTACTTTCACTAACAAGTAATTCTTAGTGTAAATCCGGACAAATGTAATTGTTTCCGACAAGTATTAATTCATCCTACTTTACAATCACTCAACAGAAAACTTCTAGTAATGACAACTGTAGGATTTCCCTTGTCCTATAGATATTCTACCAGGACTGTAAACGCGATACTGGCGACCCCAGAGTCTATATGAAAGCTAGTCAGAACAAGGACAACTTGGCTCTGAACTTTACCTGTTTCCAAACGTAAAAGCAATTCGATTGGTACAATAATCAAGTGAGTTATTGTCATCAAGTGGAACGCACAGACATAACGACCAGTATTGTTTTGTAAAAAATAAATAAAAATTATCAGACACTAATATAATAGGACAATAATGTCCTTCAACTGGTAGATCACATGCAACAGGGTAGTCTACAGACACAACAGACCAAATTGACGTGGTGGGTGTTTGCGCAACGATTTGATTGGTTAGTTATGGACATGCAATCACCAAAGACTAATTATCGAATAAGTACTCTTCAAACATGTGCAAACTAATTAACCGAAGTGGTCATCCAACTTCTTTTCTTTCCACGTCCCCAAAATGGGCATGGAATGCAAGTCATTTAGGGCTAGATTTATCACATTGCACAATGATAATTACGTTTTACAAATATAGTTACAATATGTTATTTAAAACCTACACGGTATAAACTACCATGACATTTTTCTCAGTAGTTACCGACTGGGATTAATTTTTAGACAAGTTGATTTCATTGCTTTACTTGGTCAATCTAACTTGCTGGACTCAGGTTCTCAGTCTACCTGGTTAATTAAATTAAACATCCTAATGCAATAATAGTAGTGTTACCAAAAGATGACTTGGAAACTAGATACTGTAGTAGAATTAAAAAATACATCCTAAAGCCAATGAGGGAACATGACTTTACTTATGTTTTTGACCCACTCATAGTTATCCTCAATCAGCCTAATCTTCCTCCCATTACCCAATTGTAGAGTGTAGATAAAACTTAAGGGATACTATTGATTCCAGCTAAATTAATGCGCACATACTCCATCTTTGAGATTACATCAAAGACAGAATGGTTTTGATAAGATATGAGAAATTTTCTTGTCATTTCTACCACATCCAGATCAACTTCGTTGCTTTAAAAACCTAGATGTTAACTAGAATATTCCCTGAAATAACGCAAAGCATTGCAAGTTATCATTCAAGAATTGTTATCTTTACCAGATGGCTAAAGGTATCATTGTGTGGAATTTCAAGATTATCTATAAATCTTATCTTTGTAAATATAACCTAAATTACGAATGCCGGGAACAGATCCGAGAGACAATAACAACTACGCCTAAGCTTCACAGTTTGAAAAAATTCGACGTATTTGACAGGAAATTCTGTCATTAAATGAAATTATACAGGACAAAGCCATATTGAACAAAATAGAATTTCGCGCTGTTTTACCGTACTCGGTCATTCGAATTTCTAACTGTTATATTGAGTTTAATTGTGCATTTGTCAATAAAAAAACTGACTGATTTGTATGTAAATAATCTTGTACTGAAATTTAGTATATTCCATCATAGAGAAATAATTTCATCTCACATAATCATATGTAATACTTGGATACATCGAGTGATTCAATTTAAACATCATTCAGTAAGGGATCTCATTTCGCTTACCAACTGACAATATAACCACCTTTTCATAGGTTCATCCATTAGGATGGAAAACTAGTTCAGTGTATTCAAATATAGGAGATTAAAATTGAATTTTTGGACAAATTTCTATCCAAAGACGTTTCCAACCGAAGTTTATTGAAGTTTAACAAACACTCCATTTTAAAACTATAAATCTTGTATTTTGCAAACCAAACAGGGCATTCTTCATCAATAATCGCCATCATATTTGTGTATGGATCTGGATACTTCTTGGGTGCTCAAACTATGGCAAATAGTTTTCTTATACGAACACTTCTGGAACCTTTGGCAAACAGGTCTAGTAAAAAGGCAGTGAAGGAACGTCAGATGCATTAACATGGTAGTCGATAGTCGAAACAGCCTTGTATGTTATTTGTTTCATCAGATACTTCAGTTTAAATTGGAGTTTTAAAACTCCATTACATGAACTTTCTGTGACCACCAAATCGGCTGCATACCTGGACTTCCAAACAGAAGAATCTATCATTATGTTGAAAGCTATTTTATCATTTGGCATGAGTTTTATTTTTATCCACATTCAAATAACAATACACTGCCATGTATCTCACTAACTCAAGTTTATTAGTGTTATGACACAGGGCTTAGTAAACTTCATAATTCATTCAAACTTTAATTCGCTTATTTACATCTTAAATCAAATAATTTCAGCATTTGCAACAAAATGCATTGAGTAAAAAAGCTGTCAGTCTATTTAAAAGCTTATAATTTAGTCGTAGTTAACTAAAAATTGAGTGTTGCACTCTGTGGATAAGGTAAGCAAACGTTAAACGAATTACTTCGATTTAAATGAATTGTTTTGAAAACTCACAGAAAAAGAAACGAATTTCCAAAAGAAGTAAAGAATATCGTACTGACAGTCTACTGTAATATGATACAAATGATATGACATGCATTCTCAATATAATTGGGAGGTGAATTTTTAACAAAGGAAACAATAAGTAAGACTTTGTCTATTTAGTTTCAGAACATCTGTAATTTTTATTAATTAAAATTAACAATCAGAATAATTCTTATAATCATGCCTCTAGCAGATTGCTCCTCTGAATCTATTCACCAAACTCTTGTATCCTAGTTTGTAAAGCTCATTTATTATCATTAATTGAACCCATTTGTGTCTCCTTGATTGAAAAAGTCTCTATAATTTGTTAAACGTTATTAGATCGGTTATCTTATAACAAAAGAATCCATCTGATTGATGACTGTTACAGTAAGAATCGATATAACTCAAACCGTAGATTGACAGAATAGAGCATCAATTTAAAAATATAATCATGATAGGAAACAGCTATATAAATAGCTAGAAGCGTGAAGATCCTGACACAATTCATTTTTATTTAACTCGAATACTGTTTTGTTCTTCCTATCTTTCGGCTTTTTCAAAGTCTTCATATACAACCATGTGCAGTTATGTGGAATCACGTGATGGCTAAAGCTGGAATACAGAACGAAAAAGGCAATTACAAGATTAAGTCCGACCCATATACCACTAAACTTAATAATCATCTACTCGATTTTGACCAACTACAAGTGTAATGTCTAATGATGGCATTTCGATCTTCGAACTGGCGCAAGTATCTTCAGTCCAGACAATGAGCACTCTTGTTGAAAATCACAACCCATCGCCCTACAATTCGAACGCATAGAGTTCCCCACACAAATGCAGTCATAGTGCAGTGAACAGAAGCACAGCAATTAGCATATACTGAAAGAGATTAGCTCGTTTGTGGTACAATCGTATGTACAATATTTTTCAGTCTCACAGTAAGATTGTGTTGAAAAACACTAAAAGTGTCATTACTAATAGCATGATTTGATCGGAATTTAGATCACGCGACTAAACCTTAACCTTTGAGATAACGTATTAATTATATTGAAATAAAGATTATTGGTTCGACTGAAACAGGTTTTGGATTTTTTAAATGAATAAAATGCAGAGCAGTAGATACAATGTGGTGATACGATGTAGCAGAGTGATAACTACTCACAAGAATGGAAAATTAAATTTAAAAAAGAACTATAAATGAGCTGATATCAAAAACAAGACTATTAGCCAAGGAAATAGCTTTTTAGAACATGTTTATATGCAAATTATTGATAAAAAGTAAACGTCATTGGGTGATCTAAGGGATCGGAGGGAATTAGTTTTGTGGTCATCCACTCTTTACTGAATTAAAAACTGCGTTAAGCTTAATTCATTCCCACAATATGACCTCCAAAACAGAACATCATGTGACCTTTTGTCATGGTACTGGGAAAACGGTGATTCTTTTGCATTGTTTTATGAATTATTCAACTTTAATGAAGATCATGTTTCTGTTCCGTATACAAATAGGAACCTTATAATTGATATGAAATTCAAAACAACTCTCTTTTATTGCCTGATTATCGAGGCGGGATAAATTTTTAATTTCACCTTCTTCCTGTTTAAGATGAGATCGTTGATCACATCATTCGATCTGTAACAGTGTGAACACTCAAATTGTTTATCCTGTGACTGGGGACATCTATGACTCTTGTGTAATTGTTTAATGTACGGCTTGTGCGTAATAATACGGTGCATATCTTGTAGACTTGGTTAATATTGTAACAACATTATTGAAGTTTTTGAGCTTGAAGTTGACGAATTTTCAAGAAATTATGACTTCAATGGCGTTGCGATAGACACTATCCAAAAATTGCTTTGAAGTAGTATGCAGCGGAGCGTCGAATGGGAGTTGCTGAAGTCGACAGCCGAAGACAGGAGTACAAGGAAGCCAAAAGCACAGCGAGTTCGGATTACTTGAAGCCAGAAGTGAAACTATAGAAGACAGTCTACAACCAGCTTAGGATGCGGAACACAATAGAGCCAAATGGAAGACTGAAAAATAAGTGTACATATTTCATAAGCAACCTCTGTACCTTTTAAATAGGTAAGTATGAATTCCTTCTGGAAATGGCGTATTCGTACTTTACACCATAACTGATTTCGAACTGCCAGAAAATTCACAACTATCTACAGTCTTTATCGTAGCATAACTTGGAATCACTGCACCACTGGATGGAGTGACGCTTTCATCCATGATCCATCCTTTCTGAATGGCATTTGACTTTGAATTAACACTTTGTGAATGCCCAGATTTCGATTAATTTACAAGTATTCTGATAAGTCCATTTTTTAATTGCATTATGTGAATTAATAACGACTTGCACTCATTTAAAGTAATGGACATCTTAAAAAACGACTTTTATCCCTATTTTCATTGTTATAGTAGAGGATTCGGTAAACGAACAGTTTGTAAATCCTAACAATCAAATCCCAGTATTCACTGTTCTGGATGTAGACTTGATGATTTAGTGAACGGACGAGTTTTAGATTGTTAAAATAAGTGAATAAAATGCAGACAGAGTGATATACGGAATGCCTACCACATCAAGAGTTTTATCAGAACTATTACCACCCAAAATAGGAAATAACAATAGAAAAATATTACAGAGGACACATTATACCTTGTTATATTTACACTGAATCCAAATTCTGTACATCTTTAACTTCTTTTTGCGATTTACGATTAATCTGCGATCAACCTTGTTCTGAATCTTTTCTAGACCAACGTCCGTAAATAATTTGTGTAATTCATCTGCATGAAAATCAAAACATAATCTGTTGGGATTTCCCAAACTAACCTTGAGTGAAAAAGTAAACTCTTGTCCCATCTGATCTCATATAAAAATTGTCTTTTAAACACTGGCCATTTTTAAATCTTAGCTGAGCTAAATCAAACCTTCCATAATCTCGAAACAACAGCACACCTCCGGGTTTTAAATACGTAACAAGATTTTTAAGTGTACGGTGAAACCTAAAAATTATTTGAGATTAAGGTAGAAATATTTACAATTCAGGATTAACTGCTGATAATACGAACACTAAGACTAGAAAATCCAAACTATTTCTAGGACAAGGGATTTCATCATTAGTTTTGGTTATATCATGCTGGAAAGTAATACAACGATCAGCGTCATATTCTTTGGATTCCTTAGTGATAATAGTTACATCAAACATGAACTTACTTTGAGTATAGATAGAGCCTTTTCAGAGAAATCTGATGCATATATCAACAGTCCAGGACTCCTAAACTGACTTTAGACATTTTAATATCGTATACTTTACAGCGCGTAATATTGGAAATATTGTATTTCCCACACCACAACCGACCTCCATTATGTGCACACTAGGTGCTAAAAAAAATTAAAAAGGGCAAAAACTCACACGTTGAAGAAAATAATTCACAGAACTCTTTTTCTAACCAATTTCTGTCCTTGAAAAATCTATCTTCATGATGGGAATAAAACTTGTCCCAGTATTCATGTGCAAGGATCTCAATTCTTTCTAGACATTAAAAATGAGCAATAGCTTGAAAAAACCTTGAGAATCATCTGGGAGTCTAACAGTACTATTCAAAAGTATTATTTCTTTTGCTAAATTTTCCTGCTCTTCTGTCCACTGAACGTCATCCCTAGAGAAGAAGTTGGGTTTTTTCATCCTAATTTTTACCAAGCATTCCACTCATAAATATCAGAAGCATCTGTAAGATATCGGCGTCCAAATATATCGTCACAATCTTCGGAAGCCATTTATAATAATCTGGAATATAATAATGATAACATTAGGAAAAAGGAAACGTAAACAGAAACGTGAAGATAGCTGGTAGAGTGTGTAGTAACAAGTTGCTTAACAATTGTGAAAACATAAAGAACGAGTTTACTTGCAGCACTGAAAACAACCTTTAGCCACATCACCTCACATTTACGACGAGCAGGTGCTTTAGAGGTCACTTATAAAGTGGATTATATTTGCTGTGAAAACTAAGGGCAAGCAGCTTTGTGGGCTGATGTTATGTACTGGTTTGGCTCTGTGGTTTTTCCCAACTTACTCTTATAAAAGCTACCATCGTATTTCAAGCAAAGTGGCAAAATATTCCCCGCTTGCTTCCGTAAACAGTTTAAAACCTCAACTCCACAAGTAATATCATCATTGCTCACTTGATAGCTCCAACATAATAAGCGACTTTTGACGAATTCTAACTATCCACACGAGGCTTTCATAAATCACACTAGGTTCTCTCCCTTCTAGCAATAGGAGCAGTTATTGCACTAAAATATAAGGTAGGTAACCATTATATCTAGCAGTGTACAAATTCATGTTTCGGACCATGTTTACTACGCAACGGCTAATGATACCACTGGGTTGCACATACAGAATTAGATTAAGTCGAACCTGTGATCTACGAGTTTAAAGTTAGACGCTTTGATCACTAAGCCACTGCTCTATTTTTAACAAGCTATCTTATACATCAGCAACTCACCAACGCGCTTGCCATAAGGTTAAAAACCGTTCGTTATAGCTCCGTACTACCACGAAACCATCTAGTTATCACTTATAGTCTAATCCACTTATTTTTCCCCAAAACAAACTACATTAAATAACATAAAAGGGAAAGCCCATATTTTTAGATTTGAATCAAGAATATACCAGTGTTCAAATGTTTGAACTGTTAGACCAGCTTATGACACAAGAAAAATTATGAAGAGCCAAGTGTGCAGCGAAAAATGATAAATGAAGGTTTTAATCTGTCCAAAAGATTAAACCTGCAGTTATATGATCGAAAAGTGGTCTTCGGGATGATAATCACATCCACAAGTGAAAGTCAATCAACACAACATTATTTACCGAGATTACACTACCTATATGCTCAGGATCGGTTGTGTAGAAATCACTTGACTCATTTATTTTTGTAGGGTAGACCGGATGTAGTGTTAAGGAAATGCATCAGTAAATAAGATTGTATTAACGTGGGAATCTAAAAAGTGGACTTCATCATTGTAAAATCCTCCATACTCTTCTTTCTTTACTGTATATAAATGACTTACCAACTGCAGCAAACTTGTCTGTTTTGCGCTGCAGATGACATTAAGATTTGGAAACCCATACACAGTATGCCAGATAGAATAATATTACAGTATGACCGAAATCCACTGGTTGAACGAATGAGTAGGCGGACATAAAAAGTTAATTGTAACTAGAGTGTGGTGATGCAAATAAATAACTGCAACGATTCGTATTACTACATGATACGTGGAGTTGTTATGGGTTATAAAGACCTAGGACTCAATGAACTAAGACATTAAGACTACGAGTAACTACAATACTTCTGCTGCCAAATACTTCAGGGAATTATGAGCTACTAGTAATTCATTTAATCTCTTGGACGAAAAAACGTCCAGGGTATTATACCCGAATCTTGTGACCCCGCATTTGAAATATGGGATCCAAGCAGTCCTTATTCCAAGTATGAGATGAATATGCTAGGACGAGTTCAACGGTAAATAGAAATAGTAAAAAGCCCCTTTAGCCCATCTTATGAAAACGGTCTGAGATGCCTCAACATTTTCCGTTATCTTACCGCAGATTACGAGGTGATCTAATACTGGCTGACCATACACTGAACGATGATTTTGGTATTGACCTCTTATCTTTTACTTTAATCTAAGACCGATCATCTGAGAGAACATTCTGAGGTTCGAAAACCGAGACCAAATCGCTTACGTCTACAGTTCCGTTTCTTGCACCGAGCAGTAAGTTACTGGAATTTTTTACTAGAACGCGTAATATCAGTACCTTTTGTCAATACATTCAAAGCGATACTGGATCTCCACAGTACTAAAGATTGCAAGGATTAACGCAAGTCGACTGGCCTGTCTTTATTTCTGACATGTATTTGTCCCATGGGACTCCAGTAGAGTTTTTCACAAGGTCTTGTTTACGAACGGTGGCACAATCCCGTCACTTAATCGTATTATACAATGGGATAGAATATCAATCCGTATCTAAGAATTAGGAGTGAAACAATACTATACTAACAGACTAACCAACTAGTTGGGTAGTGGCCCATATGTCTCCAAAATTCGGATTACCATGACGGATATGTTGCAAATATTAAGAGCTGGGTTAAAAACACTTGCATACTGTTCTTGATGTGATTGTGGAACGAGTAAAAAAAGTGGTTTTCTAATTGCCAATGAAACATCCCAATCAACCGATAAGGGGTAAATAAAGACGAACAAAGGGGAAACAATGGGGAAACGCGCTAACGTGTCTGCTTCCTCGCATATGTCTACTTTTCGTCTAAACGTTTAGTCGTATAGTTAAGCGAAATTTGGTGTGTATTTCGACGAAAAGTAGACAATTCAGCGACGTTCGAAACACAGCGACATAAAGAGGAAAATCCGCATTATTTCCTCGGACATATGTACGTACTTATCTGTTCCTATCTTTCTTGGCTTTCTGTAACATGTAACACGTGTAATCAGCAGTCATTGAAAGGCGGGAAGACCTAAAACCACAACACACACAATGTTAACCGAGAACTTCACAGTAGAGCGAAAACACGGAATGGAAACTACCAGTCGTTTATTTTGGAAATTAAAATTCGCGGGTTATGTACAGAAGGAAGAGCAAGTTTACAAAACAGTTGTAGCGGCAAATAAATCCCCAAACTAAATAGCTCTGTAAATCTTCGACATTGGATGCTGATCGCATTTGTATTAATGGACTCACCTAGCTGAAGGCGCTCGGTCATGCATTCGCACCAGATCACGAGTGGGAACGACGTGCTCAACAACCCCATGCAATCGCTAGCCACATTAGATCAGACGATCCTCGATGTATTGGTGGCCTATCAAATATATCTTCGAACCTCCTCGCTTCTGTCTTTTGGTTTCATTTGGTAGGTACGATTCATATTAGGTGTTACTGGTTAAGGAGTTTTCAAACTCCGAATACCTGTGGCATCCTCACAGTCTTATGAGTCATCTTGTAGGTTCAGTGCATGCAGAGCTTGCTCTCCTTCTTCTTCTTCTAAAGCACTTACTCTTGGTTGCCCCGCAATAAAAAGAAAAACAGAATCTATCAACAATACCGTACGTGATAATTTTAACCTCGCTACATCACCCCCTCTCCTAACGAGGCACTGTCCTCAGTGCCTGGTCTTGGGCAAAGGTTTGCTGTTCCTCCTTCTGATGGTACTTCATAAAATCTGGTGGCCGGCGGTGGATCGGCGAACTGAGCGTCGAAGGGGACTATCATCCGGTCTGGTTTTATTTGGTTGTAGTGTACCGTTATCACGTCGTCTTTAGGCCGTTGTATGTTGCGCAATACAAACGTAGAGATGCAACGGGTGAGGACAATTTCGAAAGGACCTTGCCAGGGCTGGTGGAATTTACTGCAACTCCCTAACGATGTCATTGGGCTACGTAGCCAGACGCGATCTCAAACTGTATACATCGGTCCTTGCACCTGACGATCAGACATGTATTTTGATGTCCTCTAGCCTTGCGCAAGTTAATGTTGTACAGTCGGTATCCATCACCTAGGTGATTGCGGAGGGTACGTATGTACGGTACGTGCTCTTGTTCTTTGCAGAGCAGCAGGGGCGACCGTATTGCTATCAGTAAGCGTAAGCCCGAAAAATGAAATAGCAGGTGAGAATCCCGTGTACCGACGTGTGATCTGCTAAAAGGCATTGAGGGAGTACATCATCCCATAACTCAGGTGATGATCTGCCGACGAACGACCGTATGATGGCTTTAATAGTTCTGTTTGTTCTTTCCACGAGGCTGTTACCTCCTGGGTGTGTGTGTCTTCTTAATAGCTGCCATATCTCAGCGATGAAATGACTTTCAAAGGCCGGACCTTGGTCGGAATGAATTGAGACTGAGGCACCATAAAGGAAGACCCCATGACCGATAAAAGCTCGGGCGACAGTAAGGGCGTATTGCTTCGGAATGGGTACTGCTTCGCACCATTTAGTGAAATAATCCCCCATAACCAGTATGTAGCGATTCCCTGTAGAGTTATGGTCTACTATAATATTAGTGCTTCTCTAATAATAGACGTAATCCTTAATTTGTAGATTTGTCATGATATAACTGCCTAGTCTATAAGATCTTACGTGGAAGTCACACCATCGACTACGCCAACTCACTGTATCGTATCAATTACAAATACATGATGTAGAACAAGGTTAGGCTAGAGAAAGAAGAATATATTTAATATGAATAGAAAATATAAGATAACATTCAGCAGGGACCACGCCTGCATTGTCGAGCCTTGCCATCCGATCAACTCCAATTCATTCAATTATCTGTTCCCGCCTTTTCCATAGTTAAGTATTTTTCCGCGTTAAATATTGAATATCTATTTTCTGTGTAGTCTCGTGTTCACAGCTTTGTGGATTGTGTGGCTTATGTTCGATGCCACTACACCCCTTTTTGTGGTTGTCAATGGTCCCATGATATCTGTGCCAACTCGCTGGTGTGATCCTGTTGTCACCATCGGCGTCATTAGTGCACAGGGTGTCTGCTGACGCGGCTTAAAACGGCAGCACGTGCTACAATTCTTGCAAAATTGCGCTATATCTTCATGTATGAATGACCACCATAAGTTTTGACGGACGGCGTGTTCAGTCCTACGTTCTCCCTCATGGCCAAGTTCGCGATGTACCTGCTCCACCAGTAGGGGTTGTTTCGATTCAGTAATTAGGAATAACTTGTCACCATATAATTTCAGGTTGCTCCATTTAGCGCAAATACTATGAGTTGTTAAGGGTTGATCTTTTAACCCCTTCATGGATGGCTTATTGTTTCCATGTAACTGTCTTTTATAAATAGTCTACAGGCCCGGATCTGTTGCTTGCAGGGAGGGCCAATCAGTCTCCAGAGCCGTACTAAGAATTGCATTAAAAGTATCTGTGGTCTGAGATATTCGGGAACGGGCATCCGCGTTTGTATGTCGGTTTCTCGGCCGATACTCGCATGTGAAATCAAACTCTTGTAGCCCTCCCAGCCAGCGTGCCACTTGCCTTTCTGGTTTGCGGAAAGAGCGGAGCCACTGTAATCCACGGTGTTCCGTGCGCACACGAAAGGGTTTGCCCAGTAGATAATGACGAATGTGTTGTCAGAATTTTACTAGTGCTAACATCTCTCGACGAGTTGTGGAATACTGTGCTTCACTCTTGTCTAGTCGTCGACTTGCATACGCAATGACCCTTTTGTGCTCTAATAACCGAGGAACTGGCATCCGTATCAATTATAAATTCGCCTTCGATTGCCAAAGCATCTGAGAAGGCTAATTTAGGTGGGGGAGTTAACCGTGCTTCCAAAGCATCGAACGCCTGTTGACACTCGTTGGTCCATAAAAATTTTCGTCTTCTGTGTGTTAACTGATGCAAAGGTGTTGCTAGTGATGCGAAGTCGTGAACAAAGCGTCTGCAATAAGAAGCTGGCACAAGCAAGATACGAATGTCTTCGAGGGTTTTTGGTTGCGGTCAATTAACAATCGCAAATGTCTTTTCTTTATCTGTGCCTACCCCATTTGCAGTGATACGATGTCCCAGGAAGATTACTTCTTTCTGCAGCAGGTGACATTTGGACGGTTTTACTTTTAAACTGTGTTGTCTAGGACGCTGAAAAACTGCTTTCAGATTAGTATTGTGTTGTTTGGGTGTGCTACCGTACACAATAATGTCGTCAAGATATATCAAGCATTTGTGGGGTACTATGTCTCGTTAAACTGTTTGCATTAGTGTTCGGAAAGTAGCCGGAGCATTCGCTAAACCAAAATTCATTTAAACCGTTTGTAACTATAAATGCGGTTTTCTTCCTATCTTGCGGTCGGACTTTTACTTGCCAATACCCAGATGCTAGGTCCAAAGTCGAAAACCAACATGCGCCTTTCAAGGCGTCTAGTGTAGCATCGATCCACGGAAGCTGAAAAGAATCACGTTGTGTTATGGCATTAAGGCGTCGATAATCTACTCAGGATCATAGAGAGGAGTCTTTCTTTTTCACTAGGACAATAGGTGATGCCCAGGGAGATAATGAAGGAACTATAATCGTTTTGTTTAGCACATCTCTCACCATTGCATCCAGTTGCGGTTGGTAGTGCACTGGTATCTTGCGAGATGGCTGTCGAAGTGGCTTATGGTCACCTGTGGGGTGTTGCACCGTAGCTGTCCAATTTCCGGAAATACCTTCTTCAAACACAGAACTAAACTTCTGGAGCACAGCGCGCGACGATCATTCTCTGTGATTACTTGATTACTATGTATGTGACGTACAAGTTCTAAAATCCCCACATATGCTATAGATTTAGTTGGCATATCATAGTGGTGCAGGTGTAATATGGTCTCATCAATTTTTGCTTTCGATCGATCCATGAATATAGTGACTTCGTGTTTTAACATGAAACTAACGCCGAAAATCACATCCCAATTTAATGTTGGACAAACTAATAATTCATACCGAAACTGATGTTTTTCAATCGTGAGGTCTAATCATGCCTTAGAACATTTCGTGCCTTAAAGTAACCCTCGTGCTATTGATAGAAGAAACCAGAGAAGTAGTGAATAGGTCTTTAGTTCGATCTTCCCGCAGTCACAGTGGAGCGTGGTATTATCTGTTCAGACAAACAAAGGCTCTCAACATTCAATATAAGATAATGGGGAATATAACGCTTATACAAAACAAGGAAGTGAATGGATACTTGAACAATACTGTTTTGGCATATGCTTGGTTGTTTGGGGTCAACTCTTAACCAACCAACCTAAGCTGTTACAAACACACCTTCAGTGGATCCCCGCTTGCTGTGAGTAACGTAGAATGACATCGAATTTGTTGAGTATTATGGTTAAGTTTCCTCAAGTGCTCTTCCTTGATAAGAGATACCGAAGCTCCCGTGTCTAGTGGTATTTCTACCTCAACGTTTTGCACTCTACCCCCAAACGTAATCGGGTTGACATGATTAACATAAGAAGATAAATAGCAAAGACGCCGCTTACCTGGCTTACGGGAACAATTGTAGCCGCATCTTCTGGCATTCCTGCCAAACCTCTTGCAATATATACATTCGGCTTGACGCTCATGGTAGTTGCTCCATGCTGGTCGTCTGTTCCATCTCGAACTTGGCTGCCCGCGGCTGGCACCCGGCTGGAAAAGTCGGTAACAGCCACTGTCCTCTGTAACCTGTCCAGGTCATTAGATTCTGTGGCTCGTTGCACAGCCGTTACTGATGTTGGATGTGCATCTGATAAATTCGCTATTTTGTCTGCAGCCAGAAAACGTAGTGTTGTTCTTTTTAAGTCAGGTGTATCAATTGTTGGGCTTCGGAGAAAATGATCTCTTAGTGGACCCGGTACCAGCCCTTCGACAAAACGTGAACATACTAACTCTTCTCGTCTCATGACATCTAAACGAGAAAATACCTGTACCGCGATTTGCTGCAAGGAATTAAGGTAGTCGATTGAGTTCTTGCTTGCTTTCTGGTGACGTGATAAAAACTGGATCGTTACCTGTCGGGTGTCCACGAGCACGGAAAAGCAGTCACCTAAGATTCCTCAGTTTTGTGGAAGCGTGTTACTTGCCGCGAAGCGATTGGCTGTAGCCCTTCGTACTGCTTCATCATTCAAACAGGATACGACGTAGTTGAAATGTTCGGTCATTGGAACTCTCTGTAGATACGCTGTAACTTTAAATTTCCGGACAGAGTAATCTGACGAAGTTTCGATCAGTGGTGGTTGGCAAGAGGTTGAACCAGGTGCAGTCTTGATTGGAATCGCAGAGGGTTCGTCTAAATTCTTGTGGCGTTTTTCCGTAGATACCTCCATCACCAATTGCAACACGTGTAATCAGCAGTCATTGAAAGGCGGGAAGACCTAAAACCAAAACACACACTATGTTAACCGAGAACTTCACAGTAGAGCGAAAACACGGAATGGAAACTACCAGTCGTTTATTTTGGAAATTAAAATTCGCGGGTTATGTACAGAAGGGAGAGCTTGTTTAGAAAACACCGTTATGAGCCATTTTGTAAGTTCGTTTTTACTACACCTTCACTAATTCCCTATGTTTCTTCCCGAACTGCACTTATGTTGTTTTACTTTATACTAAGTTTTGGCGGCAGCCATTTTGGTTTGTTCTTGCTTTTGATTGCTTGACCTGTGTTGACTGGAATTGTGCATTTTGGTTGTGAATAGATGCGCTCTTCCAGAATTGAAAACACTATGTTATAGAGCGACCAATTATTACCTTTTGAACGAATCTGTACGTGATCTATCCAGACAGGATAGAATAACAGTTATTTGTGGTGATTGGTAATTTTCTTTCATCCTTTATCAACTTTCTTATTTATTGTAGTTTAGATTTGATCAATTGAACGATTATTGGTTGGATAGCTGAGTGGTTATATTTGTTTAGGTAATAATGTACACTTAAATTTATGATAAATTATAGAACCGTCATCTTACCCAATTACTTTGTTTTGGTTTCAAACGGGCGAGGGCGCGTATCTAACTCATCCAGACAGCTGTCCGGCAGTCCAAACCATAGTTTGGATCTTACAGCATGTGCTTTCAACAAAATGGTTATAGGCAGCATAATACCCCCCCCCACGAACGCATTCACAAATCTAAATGAGTATCACTGGACCACAAAACAGAGGACCACAGTCACTTTTATTTGCATCATCGAAAAATTCAGAAGGACAATGGTAAACGTGAAAACAAAGAGGAGGAATGACATTGCTTCAGACCACTACCTAATTGGTAACAAGATGAAAGTGAAGCTGACGAAGCACTGAACAACTGAAGAGTCAGCATTACAAGGTACACCCTTGGTACACCCTTCCTTCGAGGTACTTACAAACTCAACGAAATCAGGACATCTCATGTTAACAAATTCCAAGCCTTACAAGATCTGCTCGGTGGGGAGGAGACTGTTATGAAGAGTAACTGGAAAGGGACTAAAGAGGCACTGACACTAACGTATCAGTAGGTTCTGAGCAGTAAGAACCACCAGCAAAAAGAGTGGATCTCTGTTGAAACCATGCCGAAGATTAAAGAAAGGAAGAACAAGAAGACAGCAACTAACAATAGTTGATCAAGAACAGAAAGAGTCAAGGTATAAGCTGAATGTATATAAGCAAACAGTAAAGTGAGTAGGAATATTAGAGATGACAAGCAGTAATATGTGGAAGACATAGCAATCACGGCGGTATGTCCTCTACAGAAATAAGCAACTTGTTAAACAATAAACAAAGTGGCATAGTGATGACTCCTGGTTGTGCCAAACAAATACTTTTAAATAAAGCCATTAATACTAAAGTAGATAATCATAGTTCATAACAAACCGTTAGGAAGAGATGAACAGAGTTGAGTGATAATGGAAATTTAATGGATGCTATTTGTGATGACTTCAGTAAAGTAACTGACAATTCACCACGTTGTAGGACTCTATCAAATCCGATAAACCTAAAAGTTTACGGGTGCAAATATATCCGCATTGGTGTACGGCCTCACTGAGACAGTTCAGCCCGTAATTCCCCCTTTAAAAAAGCGAACAAGACGTCTTGTGAAAGGAAGGAAGGAGAACTACATGTGTAGCTCTAGAATTCAGAGATTCACCACACTTAGTAGATCTCGAGATCTCAGACTTCCTAATACTGTCTTGCCGCTGACTAATAGTTGACCTGATTTTAAACGGTACTAAGAAATGATTTCGAACCTGACATATCTCCCCAGTTTCCTTTGAAATGGGTCGAAACAACTCGAGGAACATATCAGTTAAGTTTAAAAGCCAGGAAAACGAGACACCTTTTAGTTATACATGTTGTTCTACCGAGTAATCAACTCATGGAACACGCTACAGGAAGAAGTTCGATATTTACCCTTAGCTTACTCGTCTAAGAGAATACTAGACGGTCACAGAAGCTTGGCAGAAGATAAATAACATGGGCCGTTAAGCCTATGTCTATAATACACATAGCTGAGTTTGATTCAGAATTTGTTAAGATTTTGTTCGTCCTTCAGTACATCCCTGCGCTTCGTTTGAAGATCCACGTCTCTACGCGTCCCAATGAAGGTCAAAAGTAATAAGGTAACATCTTTGTTATTTTGAGCTCTCCCTAGCCTCTTACGGCTTCAATTTGTAGGAAAAAATGTTCGAAATTAAAAAGGCGTGATAAAACTGAGGTGAGGTGACGTATAGTTCACAACTTGAAATTAGCGACTTAAGAAATTGCTCCAATCCAAGGCAGAACTTTCTAAGAATCAGAATGAAACCATCCATACTAAGGCAAGACGTTAATATTTTCGGTTATTCTTGCTTAAACCACCATTTCGCGTCTTTCTGACCTATTTTTACCACTTTATTTTGAATTTTCATTCTTAGAGGACTGTAGCTATTCACTAACGTTGTACTGGGACTAGACGTTCGACATACGCGCTGACTATGTAGTCAGGTATAGACTTCCGTGAAAACCACACCAAAAATTCTACAACAATCAATCCCATTAATTCATATTTCTTCAAATTATATCTACAATGCCTAAGCCTTTCAGTCACTGCTCACACTGCTGCTACTTCTACTGTTCTTAAATTTTATCCTAGAATTTTATCTCTGCTAATGGAGTGTAGCAATATGAACCAGTGTACATATGTACATACAAGCCCCCAAATGCCCTTCTACGGACGAGGGAGAGTCAGCTCTCCCACTCGTGGCCACGCGTACGCAGCCACTGCCAGATAAGTCCTGCTCACTGCCTTCTCACGGCAAGGGTGTTGTTTACGAAATTGAGAGAACGAAAAGTGAATGTCCAGCGCCTTGACCGGGTTGGTGGATACGGAGAGTTTACCTAGGGGAGTTAGAAAACCCTGATTCCAAACCGATGTTGCACATGGGCTCCAATATCGTAAGGGAACAAATGGAGTGTGAGCCAATTGTTGGTCACCGGCTACCATGGGACTGCATCTCCTGACGTTGCTGCACTGCCTTGTGGATTAGACCTGTAGGTCGAAGACCTCAGGCATGGCCCCCTAAGAAGACCATCTGCTTTGCTGTGGGCACCCGGGCAGTATCAGAGCCCACCCAAATCAAGTGACTTGTGTGGTGTATATGTATTTGGTGCCTCCTTGTACAAATATTTGCGTTCAAATAAAACAAACAAATAGATAACCTACATACATACGTATCCAAAACTATCCTTTGATTGTCAGCTATCAGTCTACAGGCTTCGGACATGCACTATTTCTAGTCCTATCGTTCTCTCAACCAGACCACTATTGGGATCCGAAATTCATCATAGTTGTTCAGATGTATCAATTTCCTACATCCATTCCAACCGCCTTTAAGGTATGCTATGTGTATGCCATGCATAAAATTATACATTTCGCTTTAAACCACACCGACAGATCATCTTAACAAGAGAGAAGGGATTCGAACCTGGAACTCAGTAGTTAAAAATTTTATTTTGAACCGTTAAGCTGTCTCGCTAAGTCTTACCATCCACCAACAAACTTCGGCATATAATTTCACGAACTAAAAGTTTCAGTTGATAAAATTCTTTAGTTTCACTGTTAGTTAAAACTAATCACCCACATCGAAACAATTATCGCTCTTAGAGCTTTAAAAAATACAAGACATCTCCGATATTTTTTCACTCAAAACATGCAACCTCTTCAAGTAGCTGTTAACTACTATTTTAATTAAACCTCTATCAATGATAACTCGTTTTATAGTCCTTGCACTCAAAAGACATTTCATTCAGTTAGTCAATTTTCATTTGATAATAGTCACATGATGCGTCTGACTCTATATCAGTGGATGAATTGGGAATTTCTCTGAATTCATCAGGTCCACGTGATCAACTACTGGAAACGGCTGTAAGTAGAAATGAGCTTAATGAAGAACTCAATTTGGACTATGCAATGACAAAGAATTCTTCTGGGCATATTAAATTGGTAAGCTCTATCTTGGATATAAACAACTTTTTATTATTATGACATTGCTTGATACTTTAGAACGTCAATAAATACCTCACATATGAAAAAACAACCACGTTATGGTCAAACGGAATGAGGATAGTCATAAAAACATAAATGTTAAGAGTTCAGGTCAGTATCCAACTAAGATTAGTCTCAGTAAGTCGGCAAATGCATCCTACTGTTTGCGATAAGTATAATAAAAAACAATAAGATCCCCCCTGGTTTCTATCTTAAACCATATCTGATGATATATGAAACCACTGAGTTACATATTATCTAGGTGCTTTTCCGGGGAATCGTGCTAAATCAACGATTACTAACCGAATCTATGTATCTCTATTTTTCGTGACTGCATCATAAAATTATCGTTTTTACCGCTCCGTTCTGACATGGGCAAGTGAGATACGACATAGGTGTCGCTGGAACAACACACCAAAGCGCCATTGTTTCAAGACAGTTGAATTTACTAAATGATCGTTTTTGTGGGCGAACACGAGTCGGTAAAACAGCATCACTTCTACGGTGTGGCCACTAAATACGAGTCGTTTTTCAGAGACAGCTATAATTCGATGGAATTGATAAGTGGGAATCGTCAGCCCAGAAAAGCCAGTTTTCACAAGTAAATGGGACGATTTAAACTTTATGCCAAAATAGAATAACAAAAACTAACAGATCTGATTTTCTTACTAAGTGTGATGAGCTTTCCTTTCTGTGGTAGGATGACAACAATATGGTTTTGACCTCTTCGGATCAAAACAATAAATATCTTTCTGAACTATATAAACCTATAAATGTTGCCTTAAAATCCGAACTCAGTAAAGTGTATGAGGCACTCATATCATTGTTATCGTGTTTGTAGAGTGCTTATGCTCTTGAATTATACAATCTGAAGCGGATATTGAATTTCTCGTCAGCAATCTCTATAGTTTAAGTAGATATGATAGAAATGTAGTATTTAATGAACAAGGTTCCAATAAATCTCAACCTTTGTCACATCACTTATTGTTTTGCTATCTTTATGTTCAGTATTGAGATACTTATGTTTCCATAAATTAGACGTGTTTTTTGTACAGTTTGGCCATGTTTGCACTTGGATCCCACTTATGCTCCAATTTAAACTACTGTTGTCTTCCAATAGGTAGATTCAAAGTGCACTGAAAAGCTAACAAAGTCCCAAAGAAAACGACATAAAAAGCAAGAAATGTTGAAACTGAGGAAAGCTGCCAAAGCATCCGTTCCTAAGCCAGAACCAAAGGTAGTGGTAACTAACTCTTCAGTATTTGTCGATATTGATTATTGAAATTTTTATATTTTCGATGCTTAGATTTATACATTTATTAAGTGTTAGTTATTGCTAGATAAACGATCAGTTTATTACCTTCACTCACTCCACTCACCAGCGTTATTATTCTACAATGTAAAATAGACATATTCGGTAAGTTAAACCCCTAGCATTTTAACTAGTGTCCTAAATTTTTCGTCAATTGCAGTAACTGTTGTGTCTTGTTCAGTCAACCCAACTTAACAAGTGATCTCTAAGTTTTAAAGCTATCAGCGTTTACACGTGATTCAGAATTTTATTATGATGGTTAATAACATTGATATTGCACTACTGGTCCCAAACATTTAGCTCTTTATCTAATTTCAAATCTTCAGGTTAAGTAATAGAATGCCGATGATGAAATGTTCCTGAATAGGCAAAGACAGGTTCAGAGTGTGTTACACTTGATGGAATAGGGTCATAATTAATTTGAGTTAAACCATGGCACTAATCTGTTGGAGAGTCCATGGAAAATAACTTAAAATCAATTGCAATAGTACGTTTGTATCAATATCAGCATACTTCTCCACATACGTCTGAGAATTCTAGAATTCTTGTTTTTGTTTTATATCTTTTGTTCTGTTGGTGTCATTTTAATTTCCCTGATTCTCCTGTTATTGATTTATAATCTATGTGCCCACGGAGTGTGGGAGCACACTAAATACTAAAAAGTCAAACTATTCCTAGTAAATCTGTAAGTTGTGACAATTTTATAGTCTACAAACCATAATAAAAATTTCAACAACGGCATAGCCTTTCAAAATATTTCTTAGATATCTTATTTGAATTCAATGTGTATTATGTTCCACTCAAATTACTGAAATATATACGACCGTTGTATATAGAATTCATACATTGAGTTAAATTATTTCTGTTCTGACCACGCTTCTATTTTAGGAACCCCGTACTTCATCAAGTGTCGTACTTCCAGAACGTAAAGCTTATGTATCATCTTTGGATACAGATGAAAAACTCTTAGATGCTATTCGGAATCGATTAGGTAATCGTTCTTATTAGGTTTCGTTGTCAGAATAGTGTTTTATGTACCTTTTATTCACAGTTTATTGAATTAATCTTGACTAATATATCACATTCTCACTTGTCATTTATACATGTTTTCTAGTTGTTTAAAGTTCTTGAAATCGACCACAAAATACCTGATAAGTGGTCAGGCTAGTATCTCTTCAGTAATAAATCTTTGTTGATGTGCCTAACCAGCGTTGTTTGGATGTGCTACGGAAGGTAGGTAATTTCACTCATGGGATTTTCTCAGCCTCATTACATGTACTGTACTAACTGAGTGGAGACCAGATGTTGTTCATCGTGAGGTTGTTAATTGTTCCAAAACTAAAACCGAAGGCACTTTTTGTAGATTTCTGTAATGTATTAGCTGTGAGAGCGTGTTTTTTTGTCTAGAGTAATGGCGATCTTCAAAAACAGCTGATATGATGCAACATGTTTTCCTCGGAATAAAAACCTCGAATTATGCGTAGGAAAAACCGATCACTTTCACCTCTTCTGTTGCTTTACTTAATTGCTATTTTTATCGCAGGATTGTTTGTCTTATTCACTTTTGATTAGAAACTTCAAGTTATATATTTGTATTTACTTATTGACTGGCAAATTTATATTTAAGTTAATAGTACTATTAAATTTCACAATTTGCTTTCTTGTGTATATGAAGTTGAAATGTACCAACACACTCTAACTATACGTCCGTTGCCAAGAAATTGTCCTGTAAGTCTGATCAAGGATCTTTTCCCGTCATCAGTCAATGTTCGTATCCCGCAAAAATGCAATTCTCGGTAAGACAGTCTTTTGACTTATCATATTTCGTGATTATGCTACTTAATTTTTATAATAACATGTAATAGAGTCTCATTCTTTATGTAAACTATTATTGTTTGCGCGTAACTGCGTTATCATTATGAAGTTATTTTTTACATAGTTGGGTAATTGTTACAGATAGCGAATCGTATATGAACAAAATATAATTTCAAGTCTTTAGGAAATATTTTTCCGGATATCAAACTAATACAAAAGACTTGTAATGGAAAATTAACCAAGTGTATTCAAGATTTCGTACATATGACATAACTTTATTTTTCATCCTGATCTAGTCTTCACCTTCATTTATTTCAGACAGGTTATTATAATTAGCTTTAACATTCCTAATTTTTATTGGGAAAATAACACAATCTAGGTTCGCCAAATTAAGTATGGTTAAGTATTTTAAGGATGTCTTTGATTTTCTTCAAAATTTACAGTTATTTACGTATTTGCTTCTTTTTGGTGACCAAACAACCTAAGAATACTTAGATAACCCATTGAGATTACCAGACACCACGTAATAAATATGGCTGAGATCTAAATTTATGGAGTTAAAAGGATTTTGTAAGCTTTTGACGTTATAAGGTATTAGCGTTATAAAATCAACTTTGTAGTAATGTAGAATATTAACATCAGTGTTATATCCCGACGAAACTAATGAGTGGTGACTGTTGGGATCTATACATATATACATATATTTTTACTGTATGATTGTTAAGTACCTAAACTATGTATATTCATATTCCTCGTCTTATTAGCTTTATTTTTACCTATAGAATATTATTATACGACTTACCATTCTTAGGTTATGTCCAGTCTATTAATTGCAGTCTCCCACAATCACAGCCACTTTTGGCTAGATGTTGTACAGATGTTATTTTCTATTTTACGTGTGATGTGATCTGTCTGGTTTGTATATAAACCCAGTATGTTTGAAATATATGATTCATATCACGGAGGCTGGGATTGGTGTTCCGAACTCAACAGGCAAGGCTAGGCAGGAGGAAGGACCGATAAGGACTCTAGACTGCTCGTACAGGCTTGTGCGTCATTGGTCCGGTCGATAAGTCACTGTTATCTAATTGTCGGTATCATTACGTTATATATTAATAAAGCTCAAGGCCACAAGTTGTAACAATCAGGAAAAACGTTTGGATGATGTACTTCACTAAAACGGTTAAGTTTAGAATATTGCTTTCATAAATCAAACTTGTTCTAGTCAAATTTCAGTGTTATTTATTTTATCTTTGTATAAACTTATTAGATTTGGTTTTGTGAAATTTCGAAATCACGATGAACTGGTTGCAGCTCAAAAATCTGTTTCTGGTAAACTACTGAACGGTAAACAAATTAAAATTGAAATTTGCTCACTAAACGGACCTGATAATGTTGATAAAAGTAAATGGACTGAACCCCTACAAAGAAAATTGTCAGATTTCGATATGCGTTCTCTTCATGTCCTTCATTTACCTCGGGCGACGACTCGTTTTGACTTGGCTCAAGTATTTCCGAAAGCTGTAGGTATTCGTATGCCAACATATGATGATGGATCATGTCGAGGGTAAGAATAAGTACTAACCTCATTTAATAATTTATATAAATTCCAGTTGAGATGGAAACTATGGTATATAATCTGTTTTATTGTTGTGCGAAAAGGGTTGCTAACATTGGCTGAAGATGGCATGACAGGTATGGAATCTTGTTAGTCAATACCAAATTTGTTCACGCGAAAAGAATGTTGTACTACGAGGTCAAATATTACGCAAAATAATGTTTTTGTCTGGAACCCGAAGAATTTACATAATATATAGTGTCCCTCACTTTCGTACGAAAATATCCATGTTATCGAAAAGTAGCAACACTCAATGTCTGACAGATTGCAACTCTTAACCGTCTTACTTCAGCTGTTGCTTATTAACTTATCAAATAAATATTACTTGTTAGTTGACATTCATTTTACATTCGCTATCTCTCGGTTATAGATCGAATGTTTATTCTTTTTTTAACTGAAGACTAAAGCTGTCTCACTACTCATCACTTCTATTTATTTCACAGACTTAACACAAAGTTGGTTAATAGTTCTAATTTGTGTGGCAGTTTTGATAGATAATTAGCTTGAATCATATAATTTTGGTGAGTATTGCATGTTTGGTTTTAAAATATTTAAATTCCTGATTCTGCTATTTCTTTATCAAGGTACTGCACTCTAACCTACCACTCACGTCATATTGCATTAAAAGATTTTGAATTAAGACACGGAACATTTATTCACGGAGAATCTATCTATGTTATGTTCCTACTTAAAAATCTAAAGAAAGTACGTCCCGTTTATTTTTTAAAATCTGAGTTTATTGTGTAAAAAATAGTCTATGGACTGCTTTTTTCTTAGGTATTAATCTTTCCTAATTTATTTAGCTTTCATAAAATCTGCTTTAGCACTCTGCATACTACACGGTCATGTCACATGCATGTCTCCTCATTCATTTCAGGCAATCAGATTCATTAACGATTCGAAGAGTTTAGCATCCTTCAAGCATCGAAAATTCAAGTGTGTTGATCAATAAAATTGTCTTAAAAGTTTCATCATCTCTTGTAGATTGCTGTATAACTAAACCTCATCCGTCTTTTCAACTTTTCAATTTCATGAAAGCAACCAGGCCACTTGAAGACTGTGAGTAGGACCTCCATAGTAGAGACTATAAACGCATGTTCATATGAAAGAATTTCGAATGTTTTTCCATCTATCGCAATAGGCTCTTTGCGAACACTGTTTATTGTGAAGCACAACAGAAACATATTTTTAGTCACCTTTCAGTACTAAATTTTGCACTTTGTTTTCGGCTTTTATTAATATGGCTCATCCGTCTAAGAAAAGTGTTCGTCGGGAATTTTGTTACTTTTCCATTCTTTTGGTGTTTCTCATATATTTAATCATAACATTATCAGAACTAGTTATCAATGTAAAAAGTTGTCGGTTGATTTTAATTGACTTGACTTTTTATATTTTCTATGTTTTGTTTAGATCTCAATGAGAAATGCAAAACGTCATACCTCTGATATTTACCAGATGGATGTAGACAGTACTTCAGTACCTCATGAAGAAAAATGTGCCAAGGCAATAGTTGATCATCCCATACCTATGTCTATTGATTCATTCGATCCTGACTTTAAAATTGCTAAATCACCAGCAACATCTGGTAAACCAGTGAAAAAGAAGTCCAAAGTTGCAACAGTTCAGCGTGACATTCCAGATCCTCTAATAAATAAAAAATACCAGTTGAAGGAAAAGAGTGTCAAGCGAAAGTCATCATCTACCAGTATCTTTGATTCTTTATTTCAGTCTTCAACTGGAGCAAATGACAAGAAGCAAAAGAAAAAGACCAAGTCTAATATAAGAAATGGCAGAAAGTTCAAAAAATAACATTTGAAGAAAGTTTTTGTAGTAAATTATTGACAGAACTAAAGGTGAATTTTAATTGCTTTACGTGGAACAGTGAACAATAACACACTATTTATTGTGGTGCCAGTTCAGTAATGTTAAATAACACAATTATCAACGAATATAAGCTGATCTGACTACGGGTACAATTCGCTCATTCATTAGATAGAAGACATTCTACCTGGACGGTCTTCAAATATTACAGTATCGTCAGTGTCATGTCTTTTTAGCTGTCACCACTATATATCCTCTGATTAGTAAAATACTTGATTAGCGTTAAGAAGCAAAAAATAATCTTGTCCAAAGTATTCCGATCATATCACTATTTGGTTTCATATGCTCTCCGTGTTAATAGATTTCATATTGTCTGATATTCCCCACTAATCATAATCGCTACAATGCCAAATGTACCGAAACGATCTAAGCTCTTAATTGATGAGATTACGTTCGATTTGAGTTTAGTTTTTCACTCACCATCAACAAAATACACCCTGTAAAAATCTTGATCTAGACGGAATTGCACTTAGACATTATGTGGTTTTCGTCTTTCAATGGCATTACTTACGGGATTAAACGTCTGAATTAAATATGGATATGGTTACCAATAGTCTACGATTTGTCTTTTTGTGCTGAAAAATATTTCCTATCAGCACATTGTTTTATTTTGAGAAAAAGGGCTGCTACGTATTTATTAAGGCTGGATGGCGAGAGTCAGCTCTCCCACTCCAAATGCTCTCAAATGGCCACACGTACGCAGCCACTGTCAGGGAAGTCCTGCTCACTGCCTTCTCTCGGTAAGGGTGTTGTTTACGAAATTGAGAGAACGAAAAGTGAATGTCCAGCGCCTTGACCGGGTTGGTGGATACGGAGAGTTTACCTAGGGGAGTTAGAAAACCCTGATTCCAAACCGATGTTGCACATGGGCTCCAATATCGTAAGGGAACAAATGGAGTGTGAGCCAATTGTTGGTCACCGGCTACCATGGGACTGCATCTCCTGACGTTGCTGCACTGCCTTGTGGATTAGACCTGTAGATCGAAGGCCCAGGGCATGGTCCCCTAAGAAGACCATCTGCTTTGCTGTGGGCACCCGGGCAGTGTCACAGGCCACACACAAAATGAAAGGACACTAATTACAGGAAATACTGTTTTTGCTTCATTTAAAGTTATGACAATTCACTTTTATTTTTATATACTACCTTACTTATCTACCCTCTTCTATTCTCATTTTGTGTATCCTTATTTTTCTACTTATACAGCAACTCACCTATGGTGGAAACCCTATTTATTCTAAACGATTTCGAGTCACTGACCGGTCGAAAATGCTGTCACCCAATACGAACACTGGAACTACATATAGCATTCGAAATGGCTGCCTTCAACGTTCGCACACTAATGCAGATCGGACAACAGACAGGGTTGGCCATGTCTTTAATAAGCCTTAGTATCGACGTCTGTTGTCTTACGAGACCCGTATTCAAGACTGGTGAAGTACTACAAATTCACTCTCCATCTGTTGCTTCAAAAAGCTTGTTCTACGTGCGTTTATCCGGGGACTCTGTGGCATCTTCGTCTGGTCTTTCTGGCATTGGTGTCGCACTAAGCGCTAGAGCTGAGGCAACACTAATCGATTGGATCCCCGTTAACAGTCGGTTATGTGCTGTTAGATTAGAAAGTTCCATCAAAGTGAGAAGAAATTGGCGTGAGAAACGATGTCTTTTCGTCATCTTCGCCTATTCTCCGACAGATTGCAGCCCGAATGCCACCAAGGATGAGTTTTACCACCAACTAACAGTTCTACAGAAAGTTCATTAGACAGATATTGTAATACTAGCCGGAGACTTGAATGCTTAGGTCGGGCGTCTAGACACAGGTGAGGACATGTTGGTCGCAGGACAGATAATGGGGACTGTCTACTGCAACTGTGCACAGACCACAACCTGTTTCTGGCTAGCACTAACTTCCGGCATAGTCATCGCCGATGTGCCACCTGGGGTCCTTCCTCTGCATTTCAAGCCTAGACTCAGATTGATCACATCGCGATCAGCTACCGCTGGAGTGGTTGTGTACAAGGCTGCCGCTCCTTTTGGAGTACCTATCTGGACTCTGATCATGCCCTGGTCTGCGCCAATCTTACCTTACTTTTCAGTGGCCAACGAAGTGACCGTCACCAAAAGATTGATGTCAGCAAGTTGGTTACAACTTCTGTTGCAAGTAGGTATCGAACCGAGCTAGCTCCTAGGTTAGCTACCATTCCACCGAGTAGTAAAGATGAGCATTGGTTGCAATTGCATGACGCCATGAAAATGGCGGGTACAGTCAATTGTGGGTTCGCGAAACGTCCCGCTTATAAGCGCTGGGTTTCTTCAGCTTCCTTAAAACTCACTGAAGCCCGTCGGTCTACTCCGGGTGACCGTGAGTTTGACCACAAACGAAAGATGTTACGTAATGAAATTGAGAAAAGCTTGCGTAAGGACCGAGAAGCCTGGTGGTCGGGAGCGTGCTAATGAGCTGGAAGCAGCAGCTGCATCTGGTAACTACCAAAAGCTCTTCCAACTCATCCGAGCCAAAGGCAGCAAGAAGTCTGGTGTGAGCGAAATAATCTGTGAGGATGATGGGATGCCAATCACTAACATCCATCGACGTCTTGGATGATGGGTAGAATTCTTCGAAGGGCAGTTCAACTGGCCTGTTGCTCCGGCAACATCGGTCAGACTGTCCTGCCCTCCATGGCTGGTGACGACTGATCCACCAAATGAGGCGGAATTCCGCAAGAAACTCCAACTTTTGAAGCGCTACAAATCACCGGGCCCAGATGACTTACCTCCGGCTCTTTTTAAAGATAGTGGTGACTTTCTGGCTAAGGAACTGACTGTGTTGTTTACAAAGGTTTGGGAACTAGAAGGTGTATCAACGTCATGGAATGAGTCGATAGTTGTCCCTGTCTTTAAAAAGGGTTCACGTCGTTCCTGTAACAATTATCGGGGGATAATTCTACTTCCGATTGCGTCCAAGCTATTGGCTTCCGTCATATTTCTTAGGTTGTTCAAAACCCGAGAAAGATTGACTCGCGAGGAGCAGACTGGTTTTCGTTCTGGTCGAGGATGTATTGATCATATCTTCATCCTCCGCCAAATGTTGGAACACCGTCATATTTATCAGAGGCCAACAATCGTAGTGTTTCTTGACATCAGGGCTGCCTTCGATTCGTTTGACAGGACTGTTCTCCGGGATTGTCTATTGAAGAAGCGTATGCCTGAGAAGTTTATTAACATCCTAAAAGCCCTACATACAAACACCTCAGGCAGAGTGAGGGCATACAACTACCTCTCTCCATTGTCCCATTCAAGCAGTGGGGTTAGACACGGTTGCCCAATCTCACCATTCCTCTTTAACTTTATCATCGACGACATTCTGGAAACAGCTGTGATGGATGTAAGTAATGGAGGTATGGATCTGTTGTCTGGAGAAAGACTTCTCGACCTTGAGTATGCAGATGATATTGTCTTACTGTGCGATAATGCCCAAGCCATGCAATCCGCACTTAATCAGTTGGCAATTAGTGTCCGTAGGTACGGTATGTGCTTCGCTCCTTCGAAGTGCAAAGTACTTCTACAAGGCTGGTAGGATTCTGATCCTGTACTCACCCCGGATGGTGAGCAGATAGAAGTAGTCGAGATTTTCGTGTATCTAGGTAGCTGCATTAGTGCTGGTGGTGGAGTGAGTGATGAGATCAATGCACGTATAGTGAAAGCCAGAGCGGCTGTAAAAGGTCGGATCTACAACGCGCCGGTGAGAGCAGATTCGCTCTATGCTTGTGAAACCCGGCCTGTGATTTGAGGATGTTAAACGACCTTATGTGTTTGATCATCGTTTTCTCCGAAGGACTGCTGACAACCGATAGCGACACTATGTTAGTAATGCAGAGGTTCGGCATCATGTGTTCGGGCAGAGCCACAATAATTCCTTTAGTGTCACCATCTTGAAACATCGGCTTCGGTGGCTTAGACATGTCCTAGGAATATCGTCCCAGCAAATTCCACAATGCATTATTTGCCGACTCTGAGACTGGTTGATAGAAGTGGAGAGGTAATCAATGTATGACTTGGTGTCGTGCTAAGAATGAAAGCTGTACAGCACTGGCTCCTCTTGGTTCTTCACGACTCCCTGGCTAAGGTCGGAGGGGTGGTGCAACACAGTGGTTCGAAACGTGATCGGACATGACTCAAAATAGAAGCCAGTGACGATCCTGCCGTAAATTTCTTTTACTTTCTCCAAAAATGGACGTAACTTTAACTGGAAGAATTATTTCTGGTTGTACCTTTGCTAACTAAACTACCTCTCCTATTATTATTATTATTATTATTATTATTATTATTATTATTATTATTATTATTATTATTATTATTACTATTTCACTACCGTACACTAATTTCTTCTCGTTTTTGTTTTCTTATACACACTTTACTTTCTCTACCCTTCACATTCTCTTTGTTATTGTGTGGCGCATATGTATTTGGTGCCCCTTTGTATCAGTATTGATGTGTTCACGTGATGTATTGGCAGTTGAACCCGTTGCAATTTCACCGACCAATAAGTGAACCAAGATCCTAATGCTTCTTGGTCTTTAAGGCCCTTTCTAGTCCAGTGGCCAGTCAGAAGACGATGATAGGAGGCAGACTACTTTTCTGTTGGACCCAATTCGATCATGACCAGAAACTCATAAATTAATACACTATAAATGCCTGACCACATGCCACGCCAAATAAGAAATCAATTAAAGCTCAATTATGTTATAAGTGGTAGACGGTGAAATGAACATTACATAATCATTTAGTAATGATTGAGGAATAGTAAAATGCATAAGAATAATTAATAAATCCACTGGAACCTTGTAATAAGTGTGATATAGTGATGTACCAATGTAGTTATCTATTAATTATACAATAAACATATAAATAATAATCTGGAAAATAGCACCGAGAGTTTCAGCCCTCCAATTTTCGTTCTGTAATAATACATACTATGCAAACAATAATTTTAATATTTCGAGTCATAGTTTGAGTACGATATTCATAATTATTAGGCCATAGTTACGCTGCACACCTTATTTTGTTCATTTTGGATGGGCGGGTTGTATTTTTGACCATTAAAAACGTAATTATGGTGTGGGTACTGAATTGGTTTATTTAGCGTCATTTATTGGGTTGATGCCCATTCTAATAAATTTCTGTCGACTTTTAGTAATGGTAATTTATTGTTTCTTATTTTGTAGGCTATGTAATTTGGGCTCTACTTATCCTGTCCATCTACATTCCTTTTATGAATATAATTATTATTTTGATAGAATTTTTCTTAATAATTGATCTAAGTTTGGGTTAAGCTGTATATTATCACTTAGTCCTTGCACATATTCATTGTCTTTTAATCTGTTTAGTAATTTACTAATTAAAGATTTTACTAAGATTCAATCGATTGTAATGAAATATTGAAGGTGGGCTAAACAATATTTTTACTCACTCAACTGATCCTCGAATCTCAAATAAATAAAACGGAATCATTAGCCGACTCGTCGAGCATATAAACCAATAATAGAGAAGGAAAGCTATTATTTCTATGCAAAATACTCAACTATGAGTTGTTTTCCAATAATAATAAAACTGAAGGTTACCTAAACAACATATGACAATTCACTACAGTCTGTAAAGTAAACATGAAAAACATTGGATAATGATTTTCTCTAAAAATCTAAAGAATTAGTTATGCAATTAATAAGTTGTAAAATGTCAATCTAAAAAGGGATAAATAAATCTGGCATGCATATGAAATAAATTTTCCTGTTAACAAACATGTTCTGGTAAATCATTGAATATAAAAAAACATTGCTAGTTTTACTGCCTTGGTCAGGAACACAAGATCTCTGTTACAGTTGGAAAATTCCGGTCTCTTATTATCGTTTTTAAATTATTTAATTTCCTTATGACTCACCAAGCATCGACAGTCTTCACAAAGCGATCTGAAATTCTATTTGATGGTCATAGTCCAGCGTTTATGTTTTGCTTCATAGTTCATTTTACTAAATACACCGAACCTAACTTACAGGCAATCAGCGAACAATGATAAAACCAATAATTATTGAGAGGGTTAGTATCTGATTAATCGTAGTCGTAACGACTATAGATGGTTGATTAATCAAATATAAAGCGTATAGAAATGAAACGAATTCCTAAACTGTGCAAGTCATTAATGTCTACTATAGCTGTCATTCACACAGTATCCAGAATCTTACACTAACTTTCGTCGTTCATTATCATGGTTGCTTTACAACTGGGATCGGCGTATGTAGTAATTTTTTCATAGGTGTTTGAAATGAATCATAACAACAGCATTGACATTTACCGGAAAAATATCTGTGATAATCAGAAGTATTTGAATTATAGTACGAACTAGGAATCCCAGAAATAACGTAGTCGGATCAAGAAGTACTAGATGACCACAAACGAATGTACTGTATTTAGAATTCGAAATCAAGCATTCAACAAGTACAAAGGAATCATCAGTTCATTCAAACACCAAATCCGCCACAGCTTAAATTGGAGTCTAAGTGTCTGTAATCAATTGTACGTCTTCTTCTAAAGTTAATCCTGTGTCTGTCCGAAATTGTATTGGATAAAATCTCTATTATCTAGAATGCACTCATGAGTAGTAGAATTAACAATCGAAATCGGAACATTCACCTGCTTCCTGCGATTGTGTAATAAGCATGTCGTTTGTGTACTGAAACCGCTGCTACCTAGAATTTGAACCACACATTTTTAGACTTTCCTCCCCCACGAAATAATGTGGGATCTTATATACCCAATTAGTGAATGATGTGGCTTCATTTAAAACATTTCTCACAATAAACAAATGCATTATGAGGACAAATAATATTCGGTATGATATCAAGCTTTGACTCTTTTGAAATAGTTCCCTCGAATTTATTAAGAATGTCATTTCAGAGTAAAGGATCATTAGAAAAATCAGCATCTATCAGGTTTTCGATCATGACTAGGTTCATTCAACATATTTTCCTCAGATTTGCAAGGAATTTCGTCAGAAATAAGTGAATCGTTAGGAAAAACCATATCTGGTACAATAACATGAGAAATCTAATAAGTTGATTGATTAGAAACTGTTGTCTCGCAAAGATTCTGAGTTTCACTCAATTCTGATCTGCTATATGACTCCACACTGTCTTTTGAAATCGTTGATAGGGATAAATGATCACTAGGAACACTGGACTTAATAGAATCAAAATTACACGACTTAATATTCGTTGCATCAAGATGAATAGTAGTATTAAAAACTGACTGAATATGTCCAATATCACCACATTTAAAGCACTTAGAATTACGACATTTACATGAATCAAAAGAGTGGAACCTGCCACAGGACAAACATTGACCAAACTCGTGCCCATCTTCGTGGACTGCATCCCAACTTCTCAGTGAATTATCTGCATAAACTTGAGTATGGTCTGGGTTGGGATGACGTAATGCAGTGGAATTTTTTATATCCTCATGAATCATTTTACGAAATCTTCCTCCTTTACCACATTCGAAATTTGTATACTTAACATAGTCAGGCAGAAGTTCCTTGAGAGTTGTATAAGGAAGCGAAATGGGCCTTTCCGGCATAGTCAGAGTTCTTAATAAGCTGTATGCCTCTTTTCCGATCAATGTGAGGAAGTGTGCTACAATATTAACATCCTCAGCATCTTCCTTGGTCATAGCCCAGATTTCGAACCTTTCAGAGTAATCCTCAAAAGCATCAAGATGTGAATGTACATCCAACAATCCCATCACTGGCTCCATCGCGACGTCAATGTGATAATTAAAAGTATTTGAATTATGGTACGAACTAGGAATCCCAGAAACAACGTAATCGGATCAAGAAGTACTAGATAACCGCAAACGAATGTACTGTATTTCGAATTCGAAATCAAGCATTCAACAAGTACTAAGGAATCATCAGTTCATTTAAACACCACGATAACCCAGGGGCTCTGTAATACTTGACAAATTCAATTACTTGGTAGATTTATACCTTCCTAATTTACTATTGAATTGAGGTCTAAATAATTATTGGTGTCGGTTTGTGTTAAACCTGAAGTGCCACAGAAAATTCTTCCCATTATATAGTCAAATATCTATAATTTTCATAAACCAAGTTTGCTTTGATAAGTGACATCTATTACTAACTTCACTCATCAGATAGCTTTGAAGGACCTGCCATCTTTTAAAAGTATAATGCACCCCGAATACTGAAAACACATACCAAAAAGTAAGATGGTTAAGTGTTAAATAATATTTTGTGTCAAGGAGGTATAGAAAGTCACTAATCCAACGTATTTGATGAACTATATTATGAGTTCGATCTGCATGAATACGATAATGTAGTAAGGTAGATGATGACTTACTACGTGAACGAACTGTTGGAGACAGAAAGAGGTAGACAAGCACAACAATACATCCACTACTAAACAACATCAGTCATAAACAGGAATGCCATTCATCCTATAATGACTAACTCATCGTTAGACCAAATGTATTTTAAGTTTAATGGGAAAAATAATAATCCCTAGTTTAATACTGTCAAGGTTATAGATACTGAAATGCAATTGGCTGGTGAGATCTAAGTTAAACAACTTAGGAAGAAAAGTTAAGGAAGAAAGTGAGCGATGGCTAAACAGAGACCCATTGTCAAAAACGATCAATAAGTATTATTATCAATCGATCTACTAGAGTAAAATAAAATCAATTAAAAGCGGTAAGATACAACCCGTGTAGTTTTCTTTATAAGGAAAATTATAAAATGTTTATTGTAAGTAAACAATGCACAAATTTGTTTATCGACTTTCCAGTAAATTCTGTAGCATATACATACGTGTCAGACATAAAGTATACTTATTAATAACTTGCCAGATATCCCCAGAAGTTTGTTTTGCCTTGATGCTCATAGAAAACACTGTTTTCGATTACTGTCGCTTTATTCCATGTCATTAATATTTACTTAAAATAGAAGTGAACATCTTAAGATAACCATTGAAAACTTTGTTTCCACCAAACTACCTATTGGTTAAGTCTATCAGGAACATCAATAGACTACGGCTAAACAGCCTCACGATAAAACAGAAACACTGCTAATTTTTATATTTAATGTTATTCTCAAAAACTTCTAGGGGTTTCAGGCAAGTTATTAATAAGTATACTTTATGTCTGACACGTATGTATATGCTACAGAATTTACTGGAAAGTCGATAAACAAATTTGTGCATTGTTTACTTACAATAAACATTTTATAATTTTCCTTATAAAGAAAACTACACGGGTTGTATCTTACCGCTTTTAATTGATTTTATTTTACTCTAGTAGATCGATTGATAATAATACTTATTGATCGTTTTTGACAATGGGTCTCTGTTTAGCCATCGCTCACTTTCTTCCTTAACTTTTCTTCCTAAGTTGTTTAACTTAGATCTCACCAGCCAATTGCATTTCAGTATCTATAACCTTGACAGTATTAAACTAGGGATTATTATTTTTCCCATTAAACTTAAAATACATTTGGTCTAACGATGAGTTAGTCATTATAGGATGAATGGCATTCCTGTTTATGACTGATGTTGTTTAGTAGTGGATGTATTGTTGTGCTTGTCTACCTCTTTCTGTCTCCAACAGTTCGTTCACGTAGTAAGTCATCATCTACCGTACTACATTAAACTTTTTGTAATCGTTTTCAACCTTACTGCATAGGGCCATTTTATTTGAATACTAACAATTCTACTCGATTAGAGCATGTTGTAGGATGGCTAAAGTGATCTGAAAGTCTTTGATTAGTTCCTAAGATATAAAAATCCGGGTTGCATATTCATCAGTGATTATTTTCCTTTGTCGTGTTTAAACTTGTTTTTTGATAACAGAATTCTGTTAATCGTTTCTAAGTTTCATTCCGTAATCAAGCTGATGCTTTTGGGTGTAAATAATGAATTTGCATGATAAGCTTATCGTTGAAACACTAACCACCACAATTTACATTGAAATCTGAATTAAGCTGTGATACGTTGTGGGGTTACAAAAAACCTAAAATATGATTTGATTTATGATTGGTCACTTGAATAAAATCCAAGGGGAACTAAGTTACCAAATGGCTTAACGATCCTTTTTTTAGTTCTAAACTGTGACACTACAATTTTGAGTTTTTGAAAACTGACTGTTACACGGGGAAGTTCACGCAGTTGTCGAAATTGCTTGTTCGACATGTCAGTTGTGAACAATATATCGGCAATACAAACTGTGTTTGACACAAACACAGATTAGGAGAGAGGGTTTCCCAGATCGCAGAATTAGACACTCTAAAAAAAATTCACACATGCATATATTCATCCACAGTTTGCTTATATGGTTGTTTTGATGACAT